AATTTTCGGCGTTTTAGAAGTTACAATTCGGATCGTACATTCAAATCAAATAATGCAATAATGCTGCCGAAATTTTCAAAAATTTGTAAATCTGGAGTTTCTTGTATGCCGTGTGAAAATTACATGAAATTTAATTTTCTGAAACTACGTAAAACTACGTGTAATGTAAAATTGTAATTTATGCAACACAATCCTACAAGGATTTACACTCACTCCTTTCACTCCCTATACTAGTACGGTGCAAGAAATTTAAAAACCTTAATCTCCATTTTAAGATGATGCATAAACTAGTAGCTCATTGAGAATAAATTTCTTAAATTATCAATTTCAATAGAGTGATGGGCATAGAAATAATGAGCCAAAAATAATATGCATTTAATAGGAGCTGTTTTATGCATACAGCTGAAACTTAAAATAAGCCGCTACTGAATTTAGTCCTGGTCGTTTTCGTTCTATATAAAGTGATTGAGGTATTTAGATTTCCTGCATCGTACAAATTCCTTAAATTATCGATTTCAATAAAATGAAAAATTTAGAATTCTTAACCTCTTTGTATAAAAATAAAAATAATACACCGAGAACACTATGCACTTATTAGCAATTATTCTAAACGTCTGTATCTTCAGTGAGTCAATTGGTCTTTATTTTACATAAAGTGATTGAGGTTTTAGATTTTCTGTGCAGTATATAAACGACTTTTTGGATGTAATTTTTAAAATAATATTATCATTTTAAAATCATTATTTGATTATTTGATTATTATTTGACAATAAAAATGATTCTTAACATTATTTTTACATTAAAATTTACTGACTATATAACCCTTATCGTGTTTTCTTTTTTAATATATGTTTTTCGATTTTACTATAAATATTTTACGCGTCCAATAAATTACCTGGCCCTTTACCACTTCCCTTTATAGAATGCACTTATTTATTTAAAAAGGATTCTAAGCAACTATTCACATTTCTCCACAAAAAGTATAGTGATATTTGTGAAATTTATCTTGGTGGACATCGAAGGATTGTGATTTCTCGTCCTGAATATCTTGAAAATATGTTAACCCCTTCAGCTACAGACACTACTTTTATGACAAGAGCACTATATTCTAAAGAATTAGAAGAATTTGGAATGGCTGGAAGAGGTGTAATATTTAATCATGACGTAAAAAGTTGGAGATTTAATCGTCAATTGTTAAATAAAGCTATTCTGTCACCAAGCTTTAATATCGAAGCTGTCAAATGGATTGATATGATTTTTCAAGAATTAGAAGGATACTGGAATTCTCTCGCTAATATTAGTAAATGTTGTGACATTTCACAAGACAATAAAAATAGTTGGTTGCTGGAAACAGATTTATCATTATGGACACATAGATTTGCAAATGATATTATTGTAGTTTTAACTACTGGTGAAAGAACTTACGCTATGGTTTCGCTTTATAACAAATTGGATCCCATAAAAGTGAATCACTCTGATGCATTGATCGAAGATTCTGAAAGATTTATTCAAGGAATTAGCAAACACGTTTTAGGTTTCTCATTATTTTCGTTCCTTAATTCATCCATACTTCATAACATACCATTTATTAAAAGTAATGTTAAATCAATAGTTGAAAATCGTGATTATATGTTTAAAAAGATAGATGCAATTATTAAGAGAAAAAGAAAGGAGGTTGAAGTGATGCTAATAGAGAAAGAATTCAAGCATGAATTGTTGACATCTTTAATTATTACTAATACTGAAATGGATACGGATAATGTGAAGACTGTTGGAAATAGACCGATGACAGATGTTGAGATCAGAGGTATTTTACTTGATACTTTCTTAGCTAGAACCAAAACTGTAAGTATTACATTAATATTATGCAATATATTTATTATTTATTACTGATTAAATGTTTATTAAATTTTTAGATTGCAGACTTATTTTGTTTCGTGACATACTACATTTGCAAATTTCCTCAAGTTAAACAGAAGATGATTGCCGAAATTGACTCAATATTCCCTCAAAATACTTGTCTAAATCATAATGGCCTCTTAAAATTAGATTACTGTACAGCAATAATTAAGGAAGTTGATCGAATCATGCCAGCTTCAAATATACTTTCAAGGTATACAAATAATCCGTGTGAAATAGCTGGTTATAAATGGAATACTGGAACTGTATTTCATGTAAATTTGAATGGTATTCATAAACACAAGGATCATTGGTCTAATTCTGAAATTTTTGATCCTGACCGATTTTATAAAAAAGATGATAAACTTGATAGATATAAATTTTCTTTTGCAATGTTTGGTGGGGGATTGCGTATTTGCCCAGGAAGAAAATTAGCAATAATCAAAGTACTTTCTTTAATGGTATTAATCTATAGAAAATATGATATTGAGTTAGTTGATTCAAAGGCCCCATTAAAAACTACAATAGCGTTAGTAACTGTCTGTGAAGAATTACTAATTAGAATTAAGCATCGAAATTAAACCTCTTTTCTTTAACTTTCGAACATTTGGTATTTATTAATTCATTTTATTGAATTTATTAATGTTTTTTAACAATTCTCCTAATATTGCGATATGTGATTTTGGTTATTGAACACCTTAAACAACTCTCTTAAAACCATAAAATGTGAATTTGCCAAAATATATTTGTGATGTTTAATAATTTAACGTTACAAACTAATTTAGGTGAAAAAATGGCTAAAAATTAAATTTAAGTATCATAAATTTGAAAGTGTCTTTCATAATCTACTATTCTTTTGCACTTGCACTAGCATTTGCACTTGTACTTGCAATTCCATTGCAATAACTAAAAAAAAAATTAATGAATATGTTAACAAATATTAAGAAACATAATTATTTCACTATAGATTTAGATAGCTAATTTTAGATTTTTTTATTTTTTATAATTTTCTAATCATATTTTTTGCTGCTCAGATTATTTAATAGTTAGGGTTAGATTAGGGTTAGGGTAGGATAGTGAGGCAGGGCTTGTCAACTTTATATAATAGTTTATTCTGTCTTGATAAATTCATTATAAGTCATCAATTTGATTATATTGAGTTGGCTAATATGAGATATGTTTGGGTTTATTGTTGTTATTGTTTTTGGTTTATAAATTTTTGTTGTGTTGTCTGTTGGTGAGCTAGAGAAGTTGACACTGGGGCATTTGTTTGTTTAGCTTATTTTTATTTTTGAAAGGTTTGAACAAAACAACTTTATTAGTGTGGAAATTACTTAGCTAATGCTTATTGTCAAAAGAAATATACAGTAAAAAAGTGAGCATATTTTCATATTATTAAAGATTCATCAGTTGTTATAAATTTTTTGCAAAAAGAAATAAATTTTTTACTAACTGTTCTACTTATCAGTTATTCGATTTGTCACACAGATCATATGCATAAAATTTTTAATATAGAATCAAATGATCGATACACCTAAATTTTATAAGTAAAATTTAGGCAAATTTTGCTTTTTAGGATAATTTAATGATTAAAAAGTTGTTAGTTTAAATTTTGGATAAAAGTTCACAAATTCTCTAGCATTTGAAGGTTCTTCTCACAAAATTTCAAGGCAGTTGGAAGTAAAATGAAGAATAATCTGTTTCACGAAGTTGGCCAATTTTTATGATTTTTACTATTTGTTTATATGTAATAATAAGTGATGTATATCATTTATCCAAAATAGGGGGCCTGTTAAAGCTATGTGTTTATGTAACTTTTTATATATAGATTAACCAATCATAATCATGAAATTTGATCATCCAAATAAGTTAAAAAATCAAAAAAATGCAAAGATATAAAAAATAGCATTTTAAATCTGTCTTTGTACATTAATAAAAAATATTAAGAAGGTAATGTTACCTATAAACTTACTCTTATCCTAACATTAAACTAATTCTAATTACAATTAAAATTTTAAAAGTCATGTAGATACATGGTTTTAACAGTCTCTCAAAATAGGAAATGAGAAGACATCAATTGAATAAATTCATTTGATACCTTTTTATTTTCTATTTTAGATAAATAATATACATCACTTATTATTATATACAAACAAATAGTAAAAATTATAAAAAATTAGCTAACTTTGTAAACCAGATTATTCTTTATTTTACTTCCAATCGCTTTGAAATTTTATGAAAGAACCTTTAAATGCTAAAGAATTTGTGAACTTTTACCCAAAATTTAAGCTGACAGCTTTTTAATCATTAAATTATCTTAGAAAGCATAATTTACTTAAATTTTACTTATAAAATTTAGGTGAATTAATCATTTGACTTATATATTAAAATTTAATTTGTGAAAAATAGTATGACTGTTATAAAATACAATAATTATAAAAAAACAAATAATAAAATAATAATAAATATAGTTTGATATAATACAAAATAAATGATAAATTAATCAGAATGTGGTGACTTTAGTGATATGGTTAAGTTGTTGCATTCCCAAGTGATATATTTGCAAGGTAGGGGTTTGAAACTCACTGGTGAAGAATTTCAAATATTTTACTTGTATGATGCTACTGTCTTTTGACAATTGGTTGGACAGGATCTCTGTAACTTTGGTAATACAAACAAGATTGAAAGATCATGAAGTATTTATGTAACATATAAGTTATACAAAGGCATGCAAGCTAGCTCTGGGCAGTGCAAACTCAAGATAAGTTTTTATAATCATATAAATCTAAAAAACTAGAAAAACAGATACTCACTTGGTAAGACCCAAGTAAAGAGGTAATACAAACTTTCAATAGTAACTACTGAAGTAGCTTCACCTAAAACTAGTTAACCAGACAAAACAAGAGTATCAGCAAGTTACTTTAGTAACCAGGCTATTAGAAAGCAGAAGACCATATTTTGAAAAAAAAGATTTAATTTGTTAGATAATCAAGATTATAGAACTAGGTGTTTACTTCAGGCTATTTGGATTAGAAGTCTGGAAAAGATAGACTAGAAGATATAGATAAATTAGGTCCTAATATCAGGAAGTCTTGATAGGAAGATACCAGAATTTGGGTAAACTTTACAAATACTAGGATGAAAGACTAGGTTAGCTGAATTGTGGATACAGAAAGCTCTAGCAGGTTTACTCCAATAATAAAATTGTTCTAAGGTCATAATGAATATTAGTTTGAGGTTATATATATAGAAATATATATATAGTTAATACAAGACTGATACTGTAAAAATAATCTATTAATATAAATAAAAGTACTAACCAAAGAGGTTACTTTAATACCAAAAAAATTATAAAGTAATCTAAATTTAGAAACTTATTTTTAATATATATTTTACTGAAATTAGATTTTTAATTATATATAAATTAGACTTAAGTTTCTAATTAGAGTTAAATTAAATAAATAATAGTTCTAATTTTAATTTTTATTTTTGTCAAGTACTATCTAATTGGTTGTTATCATATAATATATTAGTTATAATATTTTGATTTAGATTAGAATTAGAATTAGAGTATTTGGTTAAAAACTAGACAAGATTTTAACTAATGAGAACATATTTGTAATATATAATACTAACTTTTGTACTTTTAATTTTTTAAGATTTTATTAAGTTTTTTGTAAAATTTTTAAGTAATTCTTGGTTATGAAAAAGGATTGCATTAAAAAGTACTTATAGGATTATTGGTAGCAGTAGTTTAACTAATATTAATTTTTAAAGATTTTTTGCTCTATTTTCCTATTTAATACTATTAATTTTTTAGAATATAACTTTGATATTCTTTATATATATTGATATAAAAAATTGAATAACTTAAATTTTTTTTGGTAATTCAACTTGTTAGAACAAAGCAGAGCTATATGATTAGTTTATTAATAATTACTTGTTTTTATATATATATAGTCATTAGACTTGTAGTATACAAATAATATTAGTTTAGAAAATTTAAAATATCTGATTATTTTTCTATAAAGCTTATAGATAAGTTTAAAAATTTAGTTTTTATTATTATTTATATATTGCTAGCTTATTTTATAATAATTAAAATAGATTGATTCAATTAAAATTTATTAATATTATCTAAAATTATAATATTATTAATATATCTTTAAAAAAAAAGTCTTATAAATAATCTTTTTTATTGCTTTATATCATATGTAAAGCAAATAAATTATATAATTTGTACTGTGGTATTTATTTCTATTGCAATTCTATTTTTGTTAATAAATTTTATCTAAATTTTTAAAGTAGTTAAAGCTTATAACTGTGTTAATTAAATATTTATATTTAGTTTGTAATAGGTTAATATAAAAAAAAATTATTATTTAGATACTTAATAGATTTCAGGATTTTTTAGTAAAAAAACTTTGTATATAAAGATTTTAAATAATTTTATTGAATCTATTATTTTTTTTAAGATAAAAAATTAGTTGAAAGTTATCTCTTATTGAAGTCAAATTTTGTAGATTTAATTTTTCTATCTAGTTTTTAAAATTTTATTAAAAAACTAAAATTCATTTAGTAGAAGATAAATATATTTCTACTATAAAATACTATTTAAAGGAATTTTTATAAACCTAGATAAGGTATAAAGATAAAAAAATTGTTTTTGTATAATCTTTATATATTTTTCTTTTGTATTATTAGAAATTTCATAATTATTATTGTTAAGTAATCCTTCTATTATATTAATAAAATAATTTTTAAGTCTAAGTTTTTATATATAAGCATATTAACTATATTCTTATTTTTACTAAGCTTATATAGGTTTTCTTTTTTTATATAGTAAGATTATAGTATAGTGTAAATATATAAGTTAATAATATTTTTATTTTAAAAAAATTAATAAATTTAATAGTTATAAGTATGGTATAAATTGATAGTTAAGATTTGAATTCTGATAATTTTAAAATAATTACTTTTACCAAATTCAAATAATAAATTAAACTAGTATTCTAAATTGTCTAAAGATTAGATTATAAAGATATTATATTTTGTAAAAATAATTTCTGTATATTGTTTTAAAATAAAAGTAGATATATAGTAAACTTATATTTATAGTTAAGAATTTGGTATTCTAATGCTGAGATCTAAATCTGTTATAATTGTAGAATTATAGTAAAATATATTGTTGTATAATCAAAAATTACAAGAAGAATATATTTTGTATATTGTTAATCTTGATTATGAAGTTGATTTTGAAATAAGGTTTAGGTTTAGATTTGAATTTAGAGTTATAATCTTGTAAATCTAAGATTAATTTTATTTTTATTAAGACTTCTTAGTTAGATATAATCTAAAAAATAAAATTTAAAGTATATATATTTAACAATATTACTATCTTATTATTTATTTCTTAAAACTATACCTTTTTACAACAACAAAAAATAAATATACTTAATTAAGATACTGTATTTGCATATAATAATACATATGTGCGTTATTTTAAAAATGCTATTTTTTTAAAAATCGCCTATTTGACTCAAAATAATGCACATGTGCATCCTGAAATAATGCACTCCAC